ACATAGTTGGTAACCTCAAGTTCAACAGAATCAGCATCAGAATCTGGAGACGACTCTCCTCCAGATTTCGTGTGAGATGGAGTACCATCAGCAGGTTCAGGCACATGAACGACCTTTTTCGCCTTTCTGGTTTTTGGTGCAGCAGTTTCGGCGACCTTCTTGCGCTTCTTTGGAGATTTGACTACAGAGGGAGAACCTTTTTCTCATTTTCACTGGAGTTGGCAGCCTCTGGTTGAGAAACCTTCGTTGTTGAGGATTTTTTAGGGCTTGGAGAAACCTTTGTTGAGGATTTAACAGGAGGTTGAATGTCCTCGGTTGCCATAGTTGAGGGATTTGGATCTGTTGGAGTTTCAGAACTTTGGCTTTGACGAGTTGAGCGCCGAGATGAAGGCGGAACATTTTTCTTCGGCTTTCCTGTACCTTGCTTGGATTTAGTCAGGGTTGTGAATTAGGGTTACTCTTCTGAAAATGAAGGTTAGAGCAGTTGGAAGAGATAACAAAAATAAAAGATTGAGATAGATACAAGATAGATGCAAAAGGTGGTATGATTGATATAGGAAACCGAAATTTCAGTTACCAAGGTAGGTTTGAAGACGGTTCGGCTCTGCAGATTTGAAATTCAAAATTTGACCAACACTTAGTGCAAACTATTAATAATCGTTCCCTCAAAAACGAAAAAGATTTGTTACCAACTTTTGCAACAAGGTTACCATATATATACCGCATGAAGTTTGAGACGAGAATATTATCAAATCACGTACCAAAAATAATTTTAGGCTCAAGATCGAAATAATATATGTCATGAGAAAAACTGGATGCACATGCCTAAAAAGATATTTAATACGCAATACCCTAGAATTTTCTTTTCACGCAATATTGAAAAAATCCATTAATTGATTAATCCACAAATCTTCCCAATTCAATTTGAGACGAGTTCGTCACTAACAAGATGATGAGAAAAATAAATTCTCTTCGTGCACAACTCAGCCCTTATTGCTTCCACTTTTATACAACACGGGATTAATATAAGTTCGTTCATCACTTTCTCTTAGCAAAAAATGAAATTTTCGTTCGCAATTCAGCCCCAATACTTATGATGAACTTACTCCTTTTTATGAACTTCTACACCAATTCACTTACTAACATCAACTATACGCCAATGTCAAGCCCATTACTTGAGGTGTAAATCATCCCGCAAAAAGTTTTATTTTTTAACATGCTGAGAAGATATGAGGATGGCCAGCCTTATTTCACCAGAGAACGTTCATTCTTAAAATGTTTACCTGTAGCTATCACACCTCGATTATTGTTAAGCATGTAACTCGTTTCATAGGTGATCAAGGAACCACCTCATGTGATAGTTTCCCGATGCCTATTTTTCACGAGAGCAGCTCTTACAAGTATATTAAAATGGTCATCATGACGAGCTATTACAAACTGACCAGTTAGAATTCATAGATCACCAATCAACAAACTCAACAATAAACACTCAGAGAAGAATTCCAGGGATGAACCTACATACTAAAAAGTCTAAAATGCAAAATCGATCCTATATGTAATAGACACGATATACATATATATTTATAGAAATGCAACTGACACAATGCACATAAATTATATAGCACACATTCCTAAAGATTCTCTCAGGGACAAAAATCGTTTTGAAACAAGAGCTTTAGTGAAAATATCAGCAAGCTGATCATCTGTAGGTACATGATCCAACACAATAATCCCATCTTCTACCAAATTACGAATAAAATGATAACGAATGTCAATATGCTTGGTATGAGAGTGTTGGACAAAATTTTTTGAAATATTTGTAGCACTAGTGTTGTCACAGAAAAGTTGAGCCGAATGAACGTTCATACCATACTCAGATAAAATCTGTTTCATCCATACCAACTGTGAGCAGCAGCTTCCAGCGGCAATGTACTCGGCTTCAGCAGTAGAAAGGGAGATGCAGTTTTGTTTCTTGCTAAACCAAGATACCAAGTTTGATCCTATGTAAAAGCACCCACCAGAGGTGCTTGTTTGATTATCAAGATTTCCAACCTAGTCAGCGTCACAATAACCTGCAAGATGTAAGTTCGTATCAGCAGAGTACAATAGTCCATACTCTGTTGTACCTCCAATGTACTTTATGATATGCTTGACTGCTTTCATATGTGATTCCTTGGGGGCAGCCTGATACCTGGCACACAATCCAACACTAAAGAAAATGTCAGGTCTACTAGCAGTGAGATATAAAAGACTACCAATCATACTTCTGTATAGAGTTTGATCAACAGATGTACCTTCATCATCTTTGGACACTTTTACATGAGTGCCCATGGGAGTTTGAGGACATTTAGCATTTTCAAGACCAAACTTTTTAACAAGGTTTTTTGCATACTTACCCCGATGCAAGAAAATACCATATTTACCTTGCTTTACCTGAAGTCCAAGAAAGTAGAAAAGTTCACCGACGAGACTCATCTCGAATTCAGACGACATAAGTTTAACAAAGTGATTGACCAGCTTCTTGGATGATGATCCAAAGATAATGTCGTCGACATATATTTGAACAGCCAATAGGTCCTCATTCGTTCGAAGAGCAAAGAATGTCTGATCTGCTCCTTCTCTCTTGAATCCCTTTTCCAGAAGGTACATGGTTGGCGTTTATACCACGCACGAGGTGCTTGCTTCAATCCGTACAATGCTTTCTTAAGTTTGTAGACATGATTCGAATTCTTAGGATCTTTGAACCCTTCGGGCTGCTTAACGTATGCCTCGTCATGCAATATCCCGTTCAAAAAGGCAGACTTAATGTCCATATGATAAACAATGAACTTCATTAGACAAGCAATAGATAGAAATATGCGTACAGATTCAAGTCTAGCAACAGGGGCAAAGGTATAATCAAAATCAATCCCTTGAGTCTGAGTGTAGCCTTGAGCAACTAGTCTCGCCTTGTTCCGTGTCACATTTCCGAACTCATCAGTTTTGTTCTTGAAGATCCACT